AAAATGGGCGTGGCACCGCCCACTTATGATCACATATATGTATCTCAGTAACCGTTCTACCAATTTGTACCAAACTCGGTGTGGTTATTGTGCTTGCCACATATAAGCAAACCGTTGAAAATTATTGAAATCGGACTAAAATAACGGCCGCTTCTCATATAACGGTAAATTTCAGAACTGCTTGAAACTTCAAAATCGAAATTTAAGGACTCTAATTTACTCAAAATTGATACGCCCCGGCTTACCATGTAGCCGTAGCTTTCGGTAAGGCGAAAAACATATATTTAATACGTGCGCCGGGTATTTAATGTTCGGCTCTGCCCGAACTTAGACTTTCTTACTTGTTTTCAGTTAAGTATTTTGCATAATTGCTCCTGCGGCCATTTTTTCGGAAGCTGCTTTTATGTTGTTCATACTTGCATGGTAGGCGGCAACCAAGTTGGCTTTCTTTCAGCACTTCGCTTCGCATTTTTTTCGCAGTGTATGTTTATTTTTATTTTCACATAAAATAAAAAATTCCCTCATTTTGCACCACCTTCTGCAACATTTTACGATCGTATAATTTCAACAAAATACTTCCCGCCATATAAAAATTATGCGCCGCAATGCTGCTTTTATTGCAGATACATAGATATTAATCTGCCTGCCTCATTCCCATGTAAGTTTGTATGTATGCGCGTATGTTTGTATCTTCCTGCTTGCTTGTTGCTCTTGAAATGCCGCTTGCAACCGTTTAAATTCTTGCAGCCGCATTGATCGCCGTATCAAGAAGGCTCGATCAGTCTCGTAGACGCTGTTGGGCATTTTTGATCGCGCTGAGAAGCTTCTGTGCGCTGTCAGCTCACTCACTTGCTTGCCTACCCCCCCTCCAGTGCAGCATTCATCAGCGTGCATAGCAGTTGCATCAGTTGGCTTGTAGTATCTCCCATTTCAAGCAGCTACCGTTGCTGATGCTGGATGTGTTAACACAATGTCCAGATTGCAAGCGAGCAGGCATTTTTAATTTTCACCGTTGCTGTGATGGCTTGTACCGTGATTTTAATAAACGTCGCTGAAGGTCAATTTGGAAGTGTTGTGCATATTTTCGCAATTAAAAAATATTTATATGAAATTATATTTAAAAAAATATATAGCTTATTCTTCCTTTTATTTATGCTACGCGCATGCGTCTCCTATATTTTTTCGGATCGTTAAACCGTTAAACCGTTAAATCTGCGGGTATTTATGTGCATTAGAGTGCATCACAATTCTCGAAAAAAAAATCTGTACCTTTTTTTCATCGGAAATATAAAATGCCATCTGAGCTGCACCTAATTTAAAATACCTCCAAAAATCCATTTTGTATGAATGAAATTAGTTTTTTTTTAATATTTATTCTAAAAAATTACTCAGATGATAGAAAAGTTGAAGCCTAAAAGGTCTGCATAAAAATCTTTAAAAATTTTGTCAACGGAATCAAAGGATGAAATGCAATTTTTGAAAAATCGGTCTAACTCACGTAAATCTTAGTATTTTACCGAAATATTTTGATGAAAGTTTTGAAGTTTTAAAATACAATAAATTTTATAATTGCGGTATTTTTTTTTTTTTTTTTTGTATGATGCACTCTAATGTCCATATTTGCTATATAGTACTTACATCGTTAATGTTGATTGAAATTTGTCTCTAACAATTGCAATCAAACTAATCAGTGCTTTGCTGGCAACATTCTCAATCGTTTTATGGTGGCGATTTTATTGTGTACACTAATGGTATTCACTCCAAACGCTACCTATTTAGCCCCGTTCTGTGTTCGTATGTGTATATATACATATGTATGTTTATGAATGTACGAATTTTTACCCGTTCATTTGCATAGTGAGTTGTTGTTTTGCTTGATTTGTTGGTTGGCGTTGTTGGTCGTTTCGGTTGTCGGTTTGTAATGCAGATGTTCTGCCGGTTTATGTGGCCATAAAACAAAATTAATTAACATTTTAATTCGCAATTTACTATGGCAGATGAAATAATAAATTCACAAAATGTGTTTAGCAAATAGCAATTTGGCAAATAAGAAAATGTGAAATTCAAATAATCAAATAGTTATTTGGTGATTTGGT